TAAATTACTAATGTTTACTTTTACTCATTGATTAGAATGATGGAGAAGAACAACACATTTTGTAGAGTTTACCCTAGGACCTCTTAGGCAGCAATTTAACTGTAAAAGTTGCACTTAAAGCTTTGTGAATAAAACCTTATGTAGGTTTTATCTCTTAACAAATGTATCTTTAATTTTGGCCACATGACTGTAATGTTCAAATCCCTTTGCACTAAACTAAAAATAATGGTCACATTTTTGAAAATAAGCATCCTGATGTAAGTGTTTTAGCTTTGAGAATCGAGTTTATAGGCTTGATTCACAAAGCTTTAACACCAGGGTAAGAATCTTCATTTTCAAGGAAGTGACATTTATTTTCAGTCTAATGAGCCTGAAAATTATAGTCATATGGCTAAATAAAAAATCCTTATGCTGGTATTAAAGCTTTGGCAACTGAGCTTATAGCACCTGTTCCACAAGGTCTAATTGGATGACATGTTTAATAAATTCTTACCTTTATCTTTAACCCCAGTGTAATGAACAGCCTTTTGAATAATCTTTCTGAATCATGCTTTTATGAGAAATTGGAGCTAACAAAACATTTTAATCCTTATGTCAAATGAAAACCTAACATGAAGGATAAAAAGTATTTGATTATGAAGTACTAAGCATGCACCCAAATAATTATATAGTAAAAACCTGTATATTTAGCAGCAACCTATCTTGGAATTTTAAGAATTTAAAAAGTACACCTATCATAAAGGAAATATGGGAGCTTATATTGCTGATTGCTTCTGAAAATGCAATAAATATCTGGCTTTAAGACAAAGCCACTTTAATTTATTATGGTCAGAGTTTCTGGCCCAAAACAAGTATGCAGACTAGTAAAAAGTCAGAGGAACAAAAAGTTGAAACAAAAAGGTCAGCATGATGGCCAGGCAACTAGCAATTTCAAAAGGGCTGCTGAGCAATACAAGGCTGCATGAGTTTCTCATAACTGGTTTCAGAAAAGCTTTCTATCTCCGAAGCATTCAAACATAGTAGTACCATCATATTCTGCCCCATCAGCAATTTCAAACACACTCCTTCTCTCCCCAAAATGTGCATCCTATGTAAACTAAACAGTCATGTTACTGATATGCAGAATTTTGACTTTTGTCAAAAGTTTAGCCCTCATTTCTGTCTAACTACGCCTCCTGGCTGCTGATGTAGCCAGAGAGATGACACTCATGACAGTCACAGGAAGTGCAAAAGTGTCTGATGCAGCTGATGACAGCCTGACTTTATTTCTTTAATGTGCAAGATGGTAGCACCCAATGGGGAAATAACTAGGTCTCTGGGACAAACTGGAACAGGGTTTTTGGTCACGAAGAGTGGGGACACATGACTGTCACAGGAAGTGGAGAAATGCCTGATATGCAGGATAACAGTCTGACTTCACCTTCTCTATACTGTGCATGGCACCTCCATGGGCTTCTGCAGCAAAGGTATCAGTAGGCATAGCTTGGAGAGCCACAAGCTGGGCTACACCAAACATGTTTATGTTCCGTTACAAGCTGGATGTTTCCTCAAAGACATCAGAATCTTTTGACTTCAGTTTTTACCTCAGCTTTACCACATTAAAATAACCTATTGCAGCATTTTCCTGTGTGGTTTCTTTGATTTCCCCTTGCCCTTTTGGTGTTGCTGGCTATGTTCTGTAGGTGGGCTGACATGAGGTGCCAGGGATCGGAAAAAATTGTTTTGATACTTTTTCCTTTCCTGACATCTTCTCATATCATGCAAGTGATCCCCTTGTGGTGTCATGAGTACTTAGGGACTGATTGTAGGGGTAAGAATGTATCTCCCCTTTATTTGCTAGTAAGGAGTTCTGCTTGGGTGAGGGGAAGATCTGACCCATAAATGGGCTGACATGAAGAGATTACAGAAAAGGAAAAGTATGAAAAATTAGCAAAATAATATTCCAGATACTTACTTTTTAGTTGTTTCTTTGGAGCAGGATTTTACACAGGATTCTATGGGCAGCTTTGAAAAGATGGCAATGTGCAGATAAGGGGCAGGCTGGAGGGACAATACTGAGAGACAGTGCATTTACATACAAGGTCTTGACATCTTTAACTGGTAGGACAGAGATTCAGGCACATCTAGGTAACAACTATTAATGATATCTGCCAGCACAGTACAGACAGCAGCGTTCCTAGATGTCTCCCTGCCTAAGACAGGGGAGAGCCTCACGATGCACATTCGGGGGGGCAGTTAGTTGCTCTTGGTGCATGTCTGGGGGGGGGGGTTCTGCTGCATGTTTCAGGGAGGTGGATCAATAAGCTGGGAGGGACACTGGCTAGAGCATCAGGAGGTTGCTAAGAGTTCTTAGAAACCTGGGACGCTCTGGCCGGAAAGAGGGCAGCAGGCACCCCTGCCACCCCCCAACCATGACCCAATGAGATGCCACCTAAGGCAACTGCCTGAGGCTGCCTCATTATAGGAATGAGACAATTATGGCAAACGCAAATCCCCAGCCCCCTCATAACCATTGCATAGCAATGGAGAACAAAATAGATTTTTCAGTCCCGGAGTTTTCGGAAAAGAGTATTTAAAAAGCTAAGTAGCATTTTTATGCATAGTTATGCTATGTGAATGGAAACATGTAACAAATATAAAGTAGGGGTTATCCCAATTTGGCTGCAAAAGTGGACATATACTTTGTATACTTATATACTTTATATAAGAAAACACAGCAGGGGTCATTTATCAAAACTTGAGTAGACAGAATCTGGAGAAGTTGCCTATAATAACCAATCAGCTTCTCTCTTCAGTTTGTTTAATTAAGATTTGAAAATGAAAGAGAGAGGCTGATTGTTTGCCATGCACAGTTGCTCCAGATTTTGTCTGCTCCAGTTTTGATAAATTCCCTTCTCTGTATTTTATATGTTTATTTGGGATTACCAATGTGTACAAGAAAGTCAGTGGGCTCAGTGACAAATTTTAATTATTTACTGTATTTACAAATGACACAAAGTGTAAATGCTTATTACCTTGTTTTGTGACATTCTTAAAATGAAAAACAATCACAGCAGAAAAAACGTTTTTTTTCCTAGCCTAGATAGAACTTCCATTATCATTGGTTACTCAGCTCCTAATGATTCTGAAGAGTCAAACAGCCAAGATAAGTTATCACAAGAATCTGGCTGGTTCAAAAGGAAATATTTGCTTGAGGCAAGGAAGGAAAAAAAAAGCACACATTGTGATGTAAAGCACAACTTCACCCTTACAAGGCCAGAGAAAGCTATAGCAACTGCTTTGTAATTGAATTCACTCTGGAGTTAATAACTGCAACCATAAAAACACAACAATAGCTACAAATATACTTCTCACACACACATTTTATCTCCGAAGAAGTATTGTGAAAAGAATTATTAAGGGAAACAGGGAAACCACAGCATGCTAATCTTTGTTGCCATGACAGCAGCCTTTCAGATACTGAAATGTACAGATTGCCAGCTAAACAAAATTGTAGATTGTGAACATTTGGCTGGAAGATTAAAAGGCTAAAGGGGATATAAAAGGGCAGTACCTCCCACATTCCGGGAAGCCACTAAATCCAATCGAAAAGACCTGACTCCTTAACCAGTGCTATTATAATCACTGGATTAGGGCAATTTATCTGGACTGTTAAGGCTGATTAAGAAACTGCGCATTAAAGATTATTGACAGACAGAATACCTATGGTAAAAGAGCTAACATATAAACAAAAGGGCGACAAATGTATTCAGAGTGGAGAGATTGTCTCTATAGAATGTGATTATTTTTCAGAATCTAACCCTAATGTATGACACACTCAACTGTGTGCTATTTTCCTTTTAATACATCAAGTGGGGACATGACATAATTATAGTGAGTCATTACAAAAATTGCAGTCGAAGGTTAGGAGCTTCTTATTAACACAAAAAGAATCCTTCTGCCAATATAAAGAAAAACATTATGAATAAAAAAAAAAGATGGCAATGCTGCCTTCATTAGCGATTTTAGATTAAGCAAGATTATTTAGTGTAAGTGTTAAGCAGTGCATCAAATAATGAACACAGAATACATAATCACCACAGTACTTCAATTCACGAAGGAGAAAAAAAAAACAAAAAAAAAAAACACAGGGTTCACAGCCTGTAGAATGCATTTGACCCTTAATTATCAATCAACAAAAGCACTAGTTCCCCAGAGAAACCTTACGCCCTCTGGATAACTGCTAGTAAATAACCTGCCTCAATGAGCAGCAAGAATAGCCATTCTCCATAACCAGTCCTAACATTTGATTTGCTCATGTGCTTTCAGGCTACTTAGCATTCACACAGTTCAAGACAGACTGGTTGAAATCAAAGGAGTGTCTGAAACAGTGCTGTCTTGCATTTCTTGAAATAGCTCTCTAGTTACATCGTTAGAGGGAAAGAAAAAAAAGAAAATACATTTTTTCACAGTGCATTATTATCTAGTACAGCTCTGCCAATGCAAGAGGATACACGAGACACCTCCCCCACCCCATAGGCAAACAGAGCAGATTATTGTAACCATGTCATCTCTCACTGGTTGTTTATACTCTAGCCTGTTGTGCAAATAGAGCTGGCTGCTACAGGCAATAAGGATTATGAGGGAGGGGGGTAGCATAGTAGCTACATTAACACCAGATAAACATAGGAAACAAAACAAAGCCAAGGAAATTAACTGCCCTAGAAAAAAAGAAGAAATAATGCAAATAAGCAAGATATTGTGTGCAGGCAAAGGAAAAAGGCACAACTTGCTCATTGTTTAACAATAAAAAAGACAATAGCAGTATCTAAAAATAAACAGAGGCCATAACATGCAATGATAAAACAAAGATTTGCTATGGGCATGCCAGCATTTCTTCAACCTCAACATGTGCCCTGCCCTTACATGCCTTCTTCTGCCAGGGTAGTAAAAGTTGAACATGGTGATTTTTGTAGGGATCAAAATGAAAAGCCACAATATGTAAAGTTTAAGTCTCTTACCTTTTCTGTTTTTAACTTTTTGCTTCGTCTGTGACTTTCTTCATCATCCTCTTCCTTTTTAGGCAATACAGAGGTCCCCATAATCCCTGAATCAACTGAATTTTTAGCCAACTCCCCTTGAAGGCTACTGCCACAGTGGAAAGGGCTACTATTCCCAGGGGTCTTGCCACTTCCAAATCCGTATAAATGCACAACTGCCTGGGTATTCACTCCACTGTTAGCATGCCCAAGGTCATACAATTTATTAGTGCTGTCCTTTCTAGACCTTCCAGAATCCTTATCCCTTTTGGAGCCCCTAGTGCTTTGGCTTTTTCCTCCAGTCCTTTCCTCTTTGACATTTTTCCCACAAGTAGTATTAGCTGTGAGGCCAACTCCATTGGTGTTTGGGCCCAGTGCAGTACTCATGCCAACTGCTGACGCCACTTCTCCAAGGCGTCCTGCTTCCTGCTGCCGTTTACCAGTGCTGCTACTAATTTCAGGAATCCCATACAAAGATGCAGAAGGCAATGACTTATTAACATCCTTAGAAGCTTTACTCCTTTTCACTTTTGATTTGCTTGTCTCTTTGTGGCTGTTCCCTTGGGGCCCCGAGGGCTGCTGCACAGAGGCAAATTTGAGACTGTCAGCCAATGTGGAGGAGGTAGAATTAACTGGTCCACTAGGTGCCAAGCAATGTCCACTGTCCTTGGATGCACAGCCACTGCCTGTTGAGTTGCTCATCTCAAATTTCTGTCTGTCCTTCTCCAAATCAGCATCCAGATCGATAATCAAATTTCCAACACCAATTTCCCAATCATCTCCACTGTCATAGACATCAACTGCATTTGAATCCACACCTTTACATATAGTAGAAGTGCTTACTGACATCCTGAACATAAGACTGAGAGTATTACATTCCCATAAACTTGTTTGCAAAGAAAAGTTGACATTCGTTGATTTCCATGGAGCAGTGTCACAGTTCAAAAAATAAAATAAAAAAATAAATAAATCCAATTTATTCCATGGAAATATTAGGTATTTTGTCCTAAGTACTTCAATAACTGTCCAAATGTGACTTTCTGCAGTTGGATTACACCTCCTGTGGGGGAGGGGAAAGAATCTGGGTTATACATTCATATCAACAAGATATAATGAAGACATAGACATGTGTTTTATGGGACCTTGGATGTGGATTCATAACAGCACAATATTTTTACTTGCAATGAGGCAATAAATAATAAAAACACATCCAAATCATAACATAATGTAAAAACACCTTGCAGCAAAATGTATCAACTAAATTGCTTAAATGCTTGAGAACAGTCATGAGGGAGAGGGAGAGAAAAAAATCAAATTGCAGCGGGATCAGGCAGCAGAGAATTGCTAAGTGTGGTAAATATAGTATTACTGACTGCACAGGAAACTGATTAAGACATACACTTTAAGTGATCTGCACCAAGGTGGCCTCGGTGACCGCAAACAAGGCAGCTTTTGAGAAAGATGAGTTAAAGGGATATTTACAGGGACAAACCGTATGCAAGCATCAAAGGGATTATAGTAAATAGAGACTTACCTTATTACTCCTGTTTTGTCATTTTTTATTCCTTAATAAGGCCACCGGGAAAGAATCCGACAAAGCGTACAATCAGTACAAGCTGCCCTCATTTTATTTAAGCACCACTGATGAGGCAGAAGACAGCAAGTCATGTATCCCAACCAGAGGGCAATCATGTAATTCGCAAGATCCCTTCTCAAGAAAAACATCAGATTTGGGTTTTTTCCCCTTCTATTTTCCTCTCTTGTCAGTCTTCCCTCCTTTGAGTTTTTTTACATTTGGGATTTAAACTGAAGACAGAAACACTAGCCGAAATGGTCTTAAAATTTCAACCATGGAAAAATAAAAAATAAAAAAAATCAATGACATGCCAAAAAATGCACGGGAGGAAAAAAAAAGTTGTGGGTTTTATTTCCTTGCCATCACTTCAATCACGTCTTTCCTTTAAACAGAGATTTCACAGCCATCCTGATCAGTTAAGTAATGATCCCTATGAACAAACCTACAGGCGTCCGCTTGTAACAAGACAGAATGTGCTAACATCGGGATAAATTAGTGAAAGGGAGAGAGAGAGGGGGTGAAGAAAGAGAGAGAGAGGGAGAGAGAGAGAGACAGAAAAAAGAGGGACTGAAACTCTGGTCTGGATTCAGCTCCCTGCTTACTCAGGAAGTGGCATTTCCCACACCCTCCCCCAACCACCAGTTTTCCTGACAAATCTGCTTTCTTGAACAACACATGAAGAGCAAAGTAGGAGGGGGTGCTGCCTGGAACACTGATGGCTCTGAGATCTGATAAACCTATTATCAAAACATTTTTAAGTGTGATGTTCAATCTTCAGAGGGAGGTGAACCTTATCCTCTGTGCACTATAATTTGTTTGTGCTGCTTCAGCAAGTCATGGTGGGATTTAACTGCTTCTATGCAAACTACACCAATCACACAGATCAGCAATTGCAAAAAAATTAAATAATATAAATAAATAAAAATAGTATTTGATATCAGTCAACACTACTTCATTTAATTTCCCTTTTCTCTTTATCTGTGCCAGCGAAATGATCTCTGTGCATGCTTAGTATTTTTAATTAGCTGACATTCTCAGTTAAAAAGCTGTAATGAATTGCTGATGGATTGGAAGTCTAGAGTGGTTTGTTAGAAATGGAAGAGGAGAGGGCAGTGGGGGGATGGGCGGCTAGCAACAAGCAGCCATCTGAAAGCTACAGCAGCTATTTTGTTTCGGCTCAGGCTTTTACATCACGTGAGGATCAAGGGCTCAATTGCTTGTCGTGACGTGAAAACACAAAGTGGGTGACAGGCAGTATCAGGGAAATGCTCATCTCTCTCTCTCTTCTTTTTTAAACACGATCCTCTTTAGGCTGTGCTTCTCTCCCTTCCTCCCCTGCCATAACTATTACTCATGAATGTGAAACAGTTCTCTCTGCAGCTGTACATCTGTGTCTCAGGGAGAAAAAAAATGAGGCAACGTGCTATGCATGCATACGAGGTGTGTGTGTGTGTGTCTCAGGGTAATATATATATAAGATATCTCAAAGCCAAATGTTTCCTTCATTCCGCACGTGTTAATAGAGCTGATTTTAGGAAATAAAGATCAACAATAAAAATGTAAACCTGGTAAAAATGTGCTCTATGGGCATGCCATCTTTTTTTAATATTAATTACAAGTCATCTCTATATATTAATGGCACAGGGGTTTTCTAGATAACTAAAGGGCTAAACATTTCCGCCATCCCACACGTTTTAATAGAGACGATTTTAGGAAATTTAGGAAAAAAAATCAACAATAAAAATGTAAGCCTGGTAAAATGTGCTGTATGGACAAGCCATCTTTTTTTGCATATTAATCACGAATCATCTCTATGTATGGATTGTATCAATGGCATTGGGGTTTTATAGATAATGCAAAGCTAAATGTTTCCTCCATCCCACACGTTTTAATAAAGATGATTTTAGGAAATTAAGGAAAAAAGATCAACAATCAAGACGTAAGCCTGGTAAAATGTGATGTAAGGACAAGTCATCATTTCTGAATATTAATCACAAGTTTTCTCTATGGATTATATTAATGGCACTGGGGTTTTATAGATAACTCAAAGCTAAACATTTCCTCCATCCCACACTTTTTAATAAAAACGATTTTAGGAAATTAAGGAAAAAGATCAGCAATAAAGATGTAAGCTTGGTAAAATGTACTGTAAGGACAAGTCATCCTTTTCTGAATATTAATCAAACGTTATCTCTATGCATGGATTATATCAATGGCACTGGAGTTTTATAGGTTTCATAGATAACTCAAAGCTAAATATTTCCTCCATCTCACGTGTGCTAATAGAGATGATTTTAGGAAAAAAGGGGAAAAATTAACAATGAAGATTTCAGCCTGGTAAACTGTGCACTATGGACAAGACATCTTTTTTTTAAGTGTTATTCACTTGTCATCATTATATTATTAATGGCACTAGGGTTTTATAGATTTTTGAAAGCCAGATGTTTCCTTCATCCCACACGTGCTAATAGAGCTGATTTTAGGAAATAAAGGCGAAAGGTCAACAATAAAGATTTAAGCCTTGTAAAATGAGCTGTATAGACAAGCCATAATTTTTTTAAATATTAATCAAAAGTCATCTCTGTGTATGGATTCTATTACTGGCAGTGGGGTCTTACAGATTTTACAGATAACTCAAAGCTGAATGTTTCCTCCATCCCACATGTGCTAACAGAGCTGATTTTAGGAAATTAAGGAGAAAGATAAACAATGAAGATTTAAGCCCTGTAAAATGTGCTATATGGACAAGTCATCTTTTTAAAATAATACTCACACATACTCTGAATGCATGGGTTGTATTAATGGCACTGGGGCTTTTTAGGCTTCACACATATCTCAAAAAATAAATGTTTCCTCCATTCTACACGTGTTAGTAGAGTTGATTTTAGGAAATTAAGGAGAAAGATCAACAATAAAGATTTAAGCCTAGTAAAATGTGCTTTATCTACAAACCATTTTTTTTTCTAATGTTAATCTTAAGTCATCTCTATGTATTGATTATATTAATGACACTGGGGTTTTAACAGTTTCCACTATGGGAGCTGAGATGGAATAATCAAATTTTGATCCTATATGCAGTGTGGGTGCATTGAGCTGGCAGCATACCCAGCCAGCAATGAGTTGCTACACACAGCACTTTCTGCCTTGTGGGCAGCTTAGTATTATATTTAGGTCTCTATTAGTGGTGTGGAGTATGTTTCCTATAACCCAGGGCTGTATGAAATGCCCTGAGTGTTCCATTGAGGCTATGCGGCACACTCACCCTTTCATTCCTCACAGCTCAGGCCGATGCAGAACAAACAGCTTCATAGTTCTTTTTACTGGACGAGTTAACAGTTCAGAATCAATCATTTGACACAGCGTTGCACACATCTGTACTTACGATCTGAATAGGATCAAGATGACCTTTGCTTCTAATTGCATCAATGTTTTATGTTGCTGCCGAGGGCTTTTTTATATACACCTATTTTGTTTTCACCTTTCTTCCACTGGTACATTACTTGTACAGTTACACAATGATTCCTTCTTAATGATCAATAACACAGCTCACTAGGCGAGCAGCAGAACTGCCTGAAATCAGAACTGGAAAAGAGAGGAAAGGCATGACACAGTCTCTCTCTACCTGAAAGGACTTTTCTTTGTTCCTAATGCCCTTTCTCAGGCATCCAATCAAAATAGAGCATTTGTGGAACTGGGCACGCTGATTGGCTGTGTTTCTTTAGCCTGAGTGGGGAGGGAGGCAAAGGAGAGCGTTGTGTGTATATATATATATAACAAACACTCATGTAAAAGGAGAAGCCAGCAAGCAGTTACACAGCATGCTGCAGGAAAAAAAATTACCCTAGCAATAAACACATGTTCCTAACTGAATTATGAGCAGTGTAAAATGCAAACCTGCTCTGCACAAAGGGATTGCCTGTCAGAATACAGCTCTGAGCACAGTCCTGACTGTGAAAAATGAATATTGTGCCAGAAAACATGTGCAATTACCGTATGTTTGGCATCCAGTCTGCCTACAAATAGAACAAGAAGTTTGTGTATATTTGCTAAAGGGTGACTGCAAGTGTACAATAAATAAGGAAGCTTAAATTAATACATACGAATTAGATTGACATTGAAATGTAATGCATTTAAGACACAGGGTATGAAAACTTGGCAGGCATGGTTCAGTACTGTTCCCATACTCATTTTTTAAACATGAAAAACTATATCATATTTCCACTCTGACTTCATAAATCATGGCCATTGTATAACTAAAACAGCTGTATACAGTATACCATGCAATCTAAATAATACCTAACAATAATCTGGATTGTAACATATATACACAGTGAAGACAAATACTTGTGAAGACAAATAGTTGAATTTTAAATTGATCTCAATATGTCTGTTCTATTTAGAATGAATGATAAGAATGAAATGGGTTAGATTGATCCCTACAGACATGTTCAATTCCAAATCCATCTTTAAAAATCACTTAGCAGATGTGAAAATAAGAGCCAAAAGAGCTCTGGCTGCTACATTCTCCTCTCCAGCACTGTCCCATGCAGGCTCACCTCTCTGTAATCCAGTGCAGGTTTGGTTCTGGGTTGAGTAATGCTCAACATCATCTAACCCACTTCCTGTGAGCCCAGGCCATCATGGGCACTTTCTCCGGGGGCATGTCACCATGCCTGCCTGGGCTCACAGTATTCCTGGCATTATGAGATTCTTAAACGAGCACCGCACTCCCCACAAGTGAGGATCACCAAAAGAGAAGAGGGCGGACCTGTGATGTCAGTGTATTGACCAGAAGTCTACAGGAGGAAAGTATCTGTAACTTGACTTAAAACAAAAGAGAGTTGCAATCGCTATGTGTATAGGTAGGTCAGTAATTCTGGGGGAATAATTGGTCAGCTAGGTTGGGTGTTTATGGATGATCACTGCTGCAAAAAAGAGGCTGGAGAATGGTTGTCTGCAAAGTCTCCTCCACTGCAAGAACACGATGGCTTTGTGGTAGGATTGCCTTTCCAATTACAACATATAAGAATAACATAAACTATAAACATGATGTTAGTTATATCACACATACAAATATCATGTTGTTTTTGTTCATAGTGAAGGAAAATGTAGTAATGAATGAATGAATGAATACTGAGTGCACTTCCAGGCATGTAGTCAGTGAGGTACTAATGCTATCCAGCAGACATTGCAGCAGTTCTAAAATGAGAAAGAACACTCAATTTACCTTATTCTGAATCCTTTGCAATCTACTGAAGCCAGAATGACCTTACATGGTCCATGGAAGTGTACATCCAGAAAGACGTTTTGCAAATTTTTATGTGATTGGTGACTGCACTTTTTGCTCTTGCCTTTTAACTGTATTTAAGAGACAAAAGGAGGCCTGTAATATATGTATATGGCTATGTATTACCAGATTACTGAAAAAGGCACTGGGGTGGATTTGCAGACTCTGCACTTGGGCCTTGCAGTAAAATGTGCCATATATTATAAGGGCAAACAGACTTTGAACTGGTAGTCCAAAGTCCAATGGAAAAAAGATACATGAGCCTCATCTTCCATCAGCAGTGCCTATGCAAGGGTGA